GGGGTGAGAAGTGAGGATAGACCACCCGAAACCCTAAACCAAAAGCCCAAAGCCTTCGCCTGATTCCCTAGATAGGCCTCAGGGTCTGCTTTGGGCGAATAGAGCGAGCTTTGACGCAGGGCTTTGAAGTCGCTTGATTCCTCGCTGGTGTGCATCATGTATCTCTCTCTCTCTCTCTTTCTCTTTCTCTTTCTCTTTCTCTTTCTCTTTCTCTCTTCCTGGCTCTCCCGTTCTCCATCTCTCTCTCTGTCTCTCTCTGTCTCTTTTTGTCTCTCTCCCACTCTTTCTCTCTCTCTCTCTCTCTCTCTCTCTCGCTCTTTCTCTCTGTACGTCTCTACATATTGCTACATGCATGCATGTAGTCCGCGAATGTTTGTAGGAAGGCAGGCCAGAAAGTAAGCGACTCCATGCATGTCGCGCTGTCCGTCCGTCGCCGTCTCTTTGTCCCGTCTGCCTCTCATGTATGGGGCAGTATAGGGTTTAGGGTTTAGGCTTCAGGGTTTAGGGTATATGCCCTCTTCCATGGAGAGGCAGACACGCAGGAGGCGTAGGGAAACGGCCGAAGCTCCTCAAGATACGGGGCTGATTGAATCCATACTGAATCCCTTAACGCTAAGCCCCGAAAGTCTGGGTTTAGGGTTTAGGGTTTAGGGTTTAGGGTTCAGTCCAAGCATTTCACTAGTAGAGCTTCTTACTCCGGTATCGAATATCGACCCACCCACCCATTGGATCCCATAACATTATGAAAATATTTTACTTTATGTTTTAATCTTAAAATTTGAAAATGGGACGCTGTGGGAGTGCACTTTTTCCACAAAAAAACACGCAAAACTTAAAAAAAACTTTAAAAACACACGAAAAACGTGCAACAAGATAAAACACACACAAAATCCCTACAAAAACAAAAATAATGAAAAAGACACAAGAAAACCCAAAAAAAAAAAAAAAAAAAAACCTGAGGGACTCTGTTGGGGAGCCGGACCCCCTGGGAAGAGTCTCTCAGGATTGGTTTTTTTTGTTTTTTTGGTTTTTTGGGGATTCTTGTGCAAGAGAACCAAAAAAAAACAAAAAAAAAACAAAAAAAAACAAAAAAACCAAAAAAACCAATCCTGAGGGACTCTGTTGGGGAGCCGGACCCCCTGGGAAGAGTCTCTAGGATTGTTTTTTTTGGTTTTTTTTGTTTTTTTTTTTGGTTTTTTTGTTTTTTTTGGTTTTTTTTGTTTTTTTGGTTTTTTTTGTTTTTCGAGGACTTTTGTGTATTATTGGAGATTTTGCTGTACCATTTTCTTTTGTACGGTTTTTCGGTGTCTTCTGAAGGGTGTTTTTTGGGTTTTTTCTTTAGGCTTTTAGGTGTTATTTCATTTTCGTACGCTTTTTTTGTACAGTTGTTTTTGGTATTTGTGTTTTGTGTGTGTTTTATATTTCTGAGTGCCCTTTTGTACGTGACAAAAGCACTAACCTGGACAATCAAGCACATGGCATTCTGTGTTTCTCTCATCTGGTGGGCGATGAAAGATTCTCTCTAGGTCCTGCTTTGCACAAATTTAAACAACGTTGATATGTTATCCATGAATTTCGTGCTCCCAGCCACATGGTTTGAAAAGCATGGGTTTTTTGGAAAACATTGGCATTACCGACGTTTTTTTCGGCTCCATCCTTCAAAAAATTGGTAAACACCAATGTTATCCATGAATTTCGTGCTCGCGGCCACATGGTTTGAAAATCATGGATTTTTGGAAAACGTCAATTTTACCAATGTTTTTCGGCTCCATCTTTCAACAACATTGGTAGAACGAATGTTTTCCATGAATTTCGTGATCTGAGGCTCTCTCCCAGCCACCATTTCTCGAGGAGGTACCAAAAAACAAACTCGAATCCTGCAAAATCTCGAGAGAGTACCAAAACCTCCATATAATCAATCACGCCCCAATACGCAAAGCATGACATCTGTCCTAAAAACTATACCTTAGCTAGGATGTCTCAAGCAATCATCCCCCCAATAAGCAAAACCTAATATCTATACTAAACACTGTACCTTAGCAACATATTTTAAGACATCACGCCCTAAGGCTCCTACCAATGTAATAAGGTTCCTATCAATCTAAGCAGGGTTCTTATTCATGTTACTGGGAATCGCAATGGGTTTTAATTAATTTTAAGGATTAGGCTCATAATTATTAGTTTAGTAGGGTTCCTATTTGTTCTTGTACAAGGATTCCATTGTTTTGCAGGCCTATTGGTTCCTATTCATTTTAGTAAGATTCCTTCTCGTTTTAATGGGATTCCTGTGAATTGTAACCCGGGTTCTTTTTGATTTGTCAAGGGTTCCTATTCATTTTAATAGGCTTCCGTCCTAGTAACTGTTATCCGGTTCCGATAATTCAATAGAGGATCCTAATTATTTTAATAAGGCTCCTACTCATGTAATAAGATTCCTATCAATTTTCATCAGATTCTTGTTCATGTTAATGGGATTCGTATTAATTTTAATAGGGATCTCATTCACTTTAAAGGGGTTCCTATTGGTTTAGGCTCATGTTCATTTTAGTATTTCTAAGGGTTCGCCTTATGTTTTATAGGAGTCCGATTGGTTCGTATTAATTGTAGTAGGGCTCCTCTTCAGTTTAAAAGGATTCCTATTAATTCTACGAGGATTCTCATCTTTTTGTGAGGGGCCTCCAATTCATTTCAAGAGGCGTCCTATTGACTTTACGGCTCCGATTAATTGAAAATAGGGTTCCTACGGATATATATATAGAGGATTCCTATTGTTGTTTCTAGGATTCCAATAAGGTTGGCCCATCTATTTTGAAAACGGGGACAGGACATACACCGTATCGCTGCTTTGTGTTGGCGCACTTGTATGCTGCATTTTGTGCATGACTCGTGATTTTGTGTATATAAAATACGGCTGCGCTGTGAGAGTGTTTTTGAAATATCTTTAAACAAATAGAAAAAAGTGCACTCCCACAGCGTCCCGGTCTCGAAAATTTTTGGTTCAGTCGGCTGCCGCCCAGGGTGGGCCCTAAACCCTAAAGGCAGCCCAGAGCAGACCCTAAAGCCAGCCCAGAGTAGGCCTTAAATCCTCAATAAAACCAGCCCTAAACCCAGAGTAGGCCCTAAACCCTAAAGCCAGCCCAGAAGCCAGCCCAGACTAGGCCCTAAACCCTAAAGCCAGCCCAGAGTAGGCCCTAAACCCTAAAACCAGTACCGAGTAGGCCCTAAACCCTAAAGTCAGCCCAGAGTAGCCCCTAAACCCTAAAGCCAGCCCAGAGTAGGCCCCCAGAGCAACCGGTAAAATTTGGTGGAAAACCGGGAAATTTTGGTGGAAAACCTGGAAGTTTTGGTGGAAAAACCGTGAGTTTTTGGCGGAAAAACCGGGAAGTTTTGGTGGAAAAACCGGGAAGTTTTGGTGGAAAACCGGGTTTTTTTGGTGGAAAACCGGGAAGTTTTGGTGGAAAAACCGGGAATTTTTAGTGGAAAAACCGGGATTTGTTGGTGGAAAAACAGGCAAATTTTAGTGGAACAACCGGGAGTTTTTGGCGGAAAAACCGGGAAGTTTTGGTGGAAAAACCGTGAAGTTTTTATGGGAAAACCCGGAATTTTTGGTGGAAAAACCGGGAAGTTTCGGTGGAAAACCGGGAAGTTTTCGTGGAAAACCGGGGGGGTAGGCCTTAAACCCTAAAACCAGCCCTGATGGCCATGCCTGGCCCCACCCCACCCCACCCTTGACCATCCTCCATGGAAAACCGGGAGTTTTTGGTGGAAAACCGGGATTTTTTGGTAGAAAACCGGTGAATTTTGGTGGAAAACCGGTATTGGTGGGAAACACCGGGAAGTTTTGGTGGAAAACCGGGAGTTTTTGGTGGAAAACCGGGAAGTTTTAGTGGAAAAAACCAGGAATTTTTAGTGGAAAAACCTGGAGTTTTTGGTGGAAAAACCGGCAAATTTTAGTGGAAAAACCTGGAGTTTTTGGCGGAAAAAACCGGGATTGTGGAAAACCGGGATTTTTTTGTGGAAAACCGGGGTTTTTTGTTGAAAACCTGGAATTTTTGGTGGAAAACCGGGAATTTTTAGTGGAAAACCGGGAATTGTTTGTGGAAAACCGGGAGTTTTTAGTGGAAAAACCGGGATTTTTTGGTGGAAAAACCTGGAAGTTTTAGTGGAAAAACCGGGAATTTTTAGTGGAAAACCTGGAAGTTTTTGGTGGAAAACCGGGATTTGTGGAAAACCGGGAATTTTTGGTGGAAAACCGGGAATTTTTAGTGGAAAACCGGGAGTTTTTGGTCTGATTGAATCCATACTGAATCCCTTAACGCTAAGCCCCGAAAGTCTGGGTTTAGGGTTTAGGGTTTAGGGTTTAGGGTTTAGGGTTTAAGGTTTAGGGTTTAGGGTTTAGGGTTTAGCCCAGACCATGCGGAAGGCTCCAAGACTTTGGCATTCAGGAGGAGCCACAAACTCAGCTCGGCTTGTTTTAAGGGGTGTAGGGCCCCCCAAAATGGGCAGTTCGAACGTTGGCTCGCGATTGTAGAATGACCGTACAGTTTAGGGTTTAGGGTTTAGGCTTTAGGATTTGGGGCTTAGGGTTTCAGATTGACGGCGGTGAGGCTGGAGTTGTGCAAGCCGTTCCTGCACTTTTTGGTTGTTGTGGTTTCAGTGGCTGTCAGAGCCTTTGCTCCGGACCCTCATTAACCCTCAACCCTAGATACTGGTGCGCAGATGCGGTCTTTTTACTCCCCGACCTGGTCGTTTAGAGCCCAAATCAAATAGCCCCGAGCCTCTAAGCTTGAGCACGCCCGAAAGGCACAAAGCACGATGCTGGCAAGTCTACGCCCTCACCCCTCGTCCTAAATCGGTGACCGAAAACAACCGCTACCGCAACCAAAAGCGTTCAAGTGTTCAACCTTCTGTGTTTCAACATCAGGTCAGTTAACCCTGCTTCGGGGAGGGTTCAGGGTTGAGGGCTTAGCGTCACCAGCTTCCCCCTGAGCCTTCTAAGTATGCGGCAAGGTCCACGATCTTCTTGTCCCTTGAGCTGCAAGGTGGCGCGGCATCAATGGTCAGAGGGTTAGGGAATAGGGCTTAGGCTTCTAAACCCTAGACCCTCGACCCTGAACCCTAAACCCTAAACCCTAAACCCTGAACCCTAAACCCTAAACCCTAAACCCTAAACCCTAAACCCTAAGCCTTGGGCACCACTCAGACATCGCTGAAGGTGGCGGCAAGAAGCGCAAGAAGAAGACGTGCCATCCCAGACAGTCCGGTGAGGATGCTGTAGTTGCAGATCCCTTTCCCCACAACCTACCGCGGACCACCCTCCTCTCCTTATGTTTAGGGTTTAGGGTTTAGGGCTTAGGGTTTAGGGTTTAGGTGCAATACATGGGAGCATTTCCAGGGGTGCCAGTTTCAGAGGTACGAAAGCGTCCCCCTTCTTCTAGTGCTAGGCTCCCTCAACAGCCCCAGGAAACCAGCGAAACATAATACAAACCCTAAACCCTAAACCCTAAACCCTAAACCCTAAACCCTAAAAGCACCTAGCTATAGCGTGGGGGTGTTTCGTGCCTGGGCTGCCTGTTCAAGGTACACGAAGCCAAAGAAGATCAAGCACAAGCGCAAGAAGGCCACGTCAAGAGCTCAATTTGTCGAACATAGGGCACTTGACATCCCTGATGCCCTCAACCTAAACCCTAGACCCTAAACCCTAAACCCTAAACCCTATTTAAACCCTAAACCCTAAGCCCTCATAATCCCTCTAACCTCCGAGACCTGCACCTCAAAGCACACGGTTTGCGGGTTTGGGATACTAAGCCCTCGACCCTAAACCCGAAGCCCTAAACCCTAAACCCTAAACCCTAAACCCTAAACCCTAAACCCTAAACCCTAAACCCTAAACCCTAAACCCTAAACCCTAAACCCTAAACCCTAAACCCTAACCCTAAACCCTAAACCCTAAAGTCGGTTCTGCCAGGTGAAGCTCGCAGTTCTTAAGTTCTACAAGGTGGACTCCAATGACAAGGCGCGGGTTACGATCTGCTTACTTAACCTAAGTGAGTTTAGGGTTTAGGGTTTCGGGGTTTGGGTTTCGGGATTAGGGTTTAGAGTTTAGGTTTTAGGGGTTAGGGTTTAGGGCTTTTTTTAAAGGGTTTAGGGAGTATGGGCCCTGGGGTTTTGTAGGGTATTAATGAGGGTTTCCATATTGAGGCAGGGACTGTGCAACTCTCCGAAGACTTACAGCTCAGGGGTCTGGGGGAGGGGGGGGTGGGGGGGAGGGAGGTTCCCAAAACTAGGGGTACCCCTTTTGGGTTCTTCCAGAGCTATATAAAGGGCCCCCCCCCCCCCCCCTATTTTGGTAAGAAGGTTATAGCTCTCAGCTCCCCCAAACATACAACCTGCTTGCTAACCAACCTGAATCTTTCAGCAAGCGACGGACGCAGTATGAGGTGCATGCAATGGCGAAGAGATGAGATAGTTAGCGTGCACAAGGGTTTCGGGTTTGGGTAGTTTTGCTTGTTTTGGGTTTTAGGGTTTAGGGATGTATGGGATTGCGGGCTCGGGGTTGCATCATCAACTCAAGCCTTGCGGTGAAGACGCAATCTTGAGCTGCATCCGCATCCCTCCTGTCTGAGCTAACCACCTGGGTCTGTAGAATCCCGAACTCAGAAAAACCGAGGCCCATGAAACCCCAAACTGAGAACAGGTCACGCGCTTGCGCCGGGAATGTCCTCACGAGACCTGCGGGCGAGAGCCTCGAATGCTGGAGCCACCCCTCAGTAGTAACCCTAAACCCTAAACCCTAAGCCCTAAACCCTAAACCTTAAAAACGGTTTTAGGGTTTAGGGCTCAGGGATCTTAAACCAACCCTAAAATCGTGGCGAGGGACCTTTTAGGCCCTCATTTCCGGAGGACTGGAGGACTGTGGGGGAGGGAAGGGATCAGGGTTGAGGTTCGGGGTTTCGAGTTCTCCATGGCGTTGAACCCCAAAACCTTCATGTGTTCAGAGCTCTCGATAAGGGAGATTGGGTTCCTTAAGGGTAAAGCCCTTCTTGCTTGTAGATCTCTTTATAAACGGGCTTGAGAAACCAAGGTAGAGCCGCCGTAAATCGCCTGAGTTTAGGGTTTAGGGTTTTATCCAAAGCCCGAACCTACTCTAAACCCCTGCATCCTAAAACGGGCCCTAGACAGAATCTGTTTTACCTGCGCTTTGCAGAAACCTTCCTGGGCTAGTCAGGGCATCATAAAGGGTCTTCGGGTGCGCTAAGCGCAGCCCTCTGTTGGATATTTGTAAGGTGCTCTCGCCTGAGTGAGACCTTTCGAGCGTGCCTCCTTACGCCACGAGACAGCTAGAAACCCTAACCTCTGCACCCCGCCATCTCCCCAAGGGTAGTTTCATGGTCCCTTAAGCTAATTTTCTAGGGTATGATAAGGACTTGCGGTTTAGGGTTTACAGGGTTGAGGGTTCAAGGGCCCATTTGAAGGGGCCATGAAACTACCACAGGAATCTCTTCGGGTTTTCAGGGTCAAACTCTCAGCCCCTGAAGCCCTTGAGGCTGAAATTCTAGGCTTTCGCGAAGAAGCTAGCCTACTGCTTCTGAGTCAGGAATAAGGGAGTTAGGTACCGTATATCCCAGAGATATTTTATGTATGCTCTATTTAGGGTACATACATATATTTATATACACACACCATACCCTTTAAGGGGTTCTACGGGATCCCTGATTCCCTCATTCCCTGCTACGAGCCAGTAAGATAGAGACAAGGCCGGGAGTGTTCATGGCCATGCACTTCAACCGCTACTACTGCGGTGCGCCCGCCTGTAGGTTTGGGAAGCCTAAACCCTAAACACCCTACACCCTAAACCCTGAACCCTACACCTTTCGGGCTGCTGGGGCGACTTGGGGGCTTCAGTCCGTTTTGGGTTTGGGGTTTAGGGTATGGGGCAGAACTTGCAAGTTTGAACTGTCCAAAGATATCCGGAGTAGAGAGAGCACCTCAACCCCCTAAGCGACATGTTGCCTTCTTGCTGTTTCTTCTCGTGGCTTGCAACACTCGGCCCTATAAAGCTCAAGGTTTTAGGGTTCCACTGTTTAGGGTCCGAATGTAGGGGTGGTTTTACATGAGCCTAAGGAAAGACATGACCATATGGTTGCCATGCTATCTTGGTTGCTCCAGTCGTCTCCAGCCTTGCAGACGGCAAACATCGAACCGTGCACCCCTAAAACTGTTCAGAAGCATTTCGTACCAAAAGCCACTGGACCCTAAACCCTAAACCCTAAACCCTAAACCGTAAACCCTAAACCCTAAACCCTAAACCCTAAACCCTAAACCCTAAACCCTAAACCCTAAACCCTTAACCCTACACGCCTACAAGCCCTGCAAGGCCTCTTGGAGGCACAAGAACCCACCCCTAAACCCCAAGCCCTCTTACTCCTCAAAATCCGACCTACCAATCTGTCTTGCTTTCTCTAAGTCTCTTCTTGGCTCCATCTCTGCCTCTGTCTTTGTCTTTTTGGCTCTGTCTCTGCCTCTGTCATTTTTCTCTGTCACTGTCTGTCTCCATCCGTCTCTCTCTCTCTCTCTGTCACATGTTCTGTCGCCATCTTTCTGTCTCTCGCTCTCGCTGTCATTTGTTATGTCGCCTTGTCGTTGTTTTTTTTTGTCACTCTCGCTCTCTCTCTCTCTCTCTCGCTCTCTCTCTCTCTCTCTCTTTTTCTGAGACATGTTAGCGGCCAGAATCATCAACTGAGTCACCTTGAGCACAGGCAAGTGCCACTTGACCTATCTCATCAAGAAGGACGAGAAGTGACCGACCCGAAGGCACCCCATAACTCTGAGCCTTTTTTTTGGAACTCCAAACAGGAACTCCGAAACCCTAAATCCTAAACCCTAGCCACTTTTCCCTAAAAAGTGCCTTTGGCTTCCTTCTTTTCTGAGAATCGGCTTTCGAAGACGTGAGCAAAGGCGAGCTGCAAGAACCCCCCCCCCCCCCCCCCCCCCCCCCCCCCCCC